AATTAACAATAAGAAATTGTTTAAACATTTTAAAAATTTATTAAATTAATACTGAATGTTTATATGTTAATTACCCATTAAATTTCGGGTAAAAAACTCGAATAAATATACTACAAATTGAATTTTTTCAATTATGTTCGTTTTTCCAAAATTTAATTAATTAGCGTATTGTTTATTTAATAAAAGTGTAATTATATAAAAAAATTTACTTCAGGAATACTAAAACATGATTTCTAATGTACTTAAAAAATTTTTAAATGTTAAAAACTTTATTTTATAGCAACATATCGATTTTTTCATACTTTGTTATAAACAAATAAATATAAATAAACAAAAATTAAAAAATCGACCTGGAGGAATCGATAGAGAATTTAGTAACGAAGATTTAAAAAAAAAATTGCTTAATTTGAATAGAAATTGTGACCTCTAGACTGATTTTGATACAAAAAGTACATTTGGCCCCACTGTGCGTCGCATGCACGGAGAAAAAGGAATAGTTGACATATCCAGATACATGGATATCACAGCCATATTATATTGAAAAATACGGGATATCCATAGTTAAGGTTGCTGCATCCATATTCTATGGCTGGCTGTATATTGTTGGAGCAGCAAAAGACCTATGGTTGGGTGATCCATAGTAATGGAAATGGGAAACAAAAAATTGGAATCACTCAATTAATTAAATTCAATGTCACTTGAGATATTTTATACACATTTTTGTTAATTAATACACACCACTTATTGAATAACCGCATATTAACGAAATAAATTATCAACCGATGGAGGGAGGACACGAACCCTAGACCTAACGCATACCAAACACTAACGCTATCCACTACACTATACACACAACTACAATATTTGAGCATATAATATTCCTTATATACTCTACACATATTTTATGAAAATGAATTTACATAAACACTAATAGACAATAACGATAATAAATAATAAACAATTATAACACTATTTATACACAATAAACTCACAACGTGATTATATAGACGTGACAGGAAACCGACGCGACGGACAAATTGAGACGACCATTTTTAAATGGATGCCATGATAATGAATTGCGCGCAACATGTATCGAAATTTTGAACTAACTATGGATCTCCCAACCAAAGTTTACATGGATGAGGCAGCCATATGTGAAAATCCATAGCATGAATTGTAAGCCCAACCATGCATATGGATGTCACATCCATATTTGATTCAACAATATAATATGGCTCCCTCATCCATTGAATATGGAATGTGCTTCCATTCTGAAAGTTGTCTCTTCCATTGAATTGGATAACACACCAATATTCTGCTCAACAATATTTTTATGGATATCTCTTCCAGACCTTTTCTTTCCGTGTGGTAAAGAGTTTGCTCACCTAGTTTCTTTTTTTTATTTATAACTCTTAAAATAAAAAAATTATAATTTTATATTCTCAGTACTAAGACAGTACTAAGACAGATCCCCGAACTTTAAACTGCTCGGTACTGGTGTCTAAAGTTCGGGGTGGACACCTTGACGCCAAAAAATATAAACACTCAGAGCCGTACGGTGTATGTAAGAAAAATTGTGTTCGATACACGGAAAGAAAAGGTCTGGAAGAGATATCCATAAAAATATTGTTGAGCAGAATATTGTTGTGCTATCCAATTCAATGGAAAAGACAACTTTTAGAATGGAAGCACATTCCATATTCAATGGATGAGGGAGCCATATTATATTGTTGAATCAAATATGGATGTGACATCCATAGGCATGGTTGTGCTTACAATTCATGCTATGGATTTTCACATATGGCTGCCTCATCCATATAAACTTTGGTTGGGAGATCCATAGTTAGTTCAAAATTTCGATACATGTTGCGCGCAATTCATTATCATGGCATCCATTTAAAAATGGTCGTCTCAATTTGTCGTTGTGAGTTTATTGTGTATAAATAGTGTTATAATTGTTCATTAGTTATTATCGTTATTGACTATTAGTGTTTATGTAAATTCATTTTCATGAAATATGTGTATAGTATATAAGGAATATTATATGCTCAAATATTGTAGTTGTGTGTATAGTGTAGTGGATAGCGTTAGTGTTTAGTATGCGTTAGGTCTAGGGTTCGTGTCTCCCCCATCGGTTAATAATTTATTTCGTTAATATGCGGTTATTCAATAAGTGGTGTGTATTAATTAACAAAAATGTGTATAAAATATCTCAAGTGACATAGAATTTAATTAATTAATCCATTACTATGGATCACCCAACCATAGATCTTTTGCTGCTCCAACAATATACAGCCAGCCATAGAATATGGAAGCAGCAACCTTAACTATGGATATCCCGTATTTTTCAATATAATATGGCTGTGATATCCATGTATCTGGATGTGTCAACTATTCCTTTTTCTCCGTGTATAAATTTTATATTTCTTTAAAATGTTTTTTTTCAACTAACACGTCTATTTTCCTTCATATTTCACACTTATTTTCAATTTCGAATGCTACGTATTTTTATCTTCGATTAAAATACGATTTAAATTTTTACACGCAAAAAATAAAGCCAAAAAAAGGAACACTTTAAATTTACGCTACTGGTCCAAACCTAAAATCCGCCATTACATTCCCACAACCCCTCTCCCTGCCTCGCCCATACTTGATGTCAACACAGTCTAATGTTCGGAAGTATAGAGTTCGGGAGTTTCAGTGTAATAAAAAATAAAAGTTAATTTAATCGAAAAAAATAATTTATTAAATAATTGTAGAAAATTTTAAAAATCTTTAAAATAAATTTAATTTCACATTCTGTAAAGTTACTTTATTGTTTAATTAAATTGCTGAAATCGGTGCCAAAATGGTTCAATTTACCCTGCATAGAAAATTTTATATCTCAATATGCTTTAATAGTTTTTGGGGTCGCTGATTACGAATCCAGTGTCCATTTTTAAAAATTCAAAATGGCGGATCTTTTTCAAAAAAATTTTATTTTTAATCAAAAAAATTTTTTTTTAATATCCGCCATATTCGATTCGATTTCATAAACTTTTTGAATAAATGCACATTACCCACTTATTAAAAAACTTGCTTGTTTAACAAACATTTAAAGTTATGTAACTTTCATAAAAAAATTTTTTATCATTCCTAACAAATATTTTTGAAAAGCTTATAGCATTAGCTTCAATTTCCACTTTAGATCATGTAATTCCGATGTATTGTTGACGAGTTATAAAATATTTAGTTACCTCGAGTATACCTACTCGCGGTTAACCGTTTTTGGTACAGTCAATTTACCCCGAGTTAACTCGAAACAAACCGTAGGGAGGTTAAAATTCGTGATGATTCCAAAGTTATAAAACAAAAAAAAATCAAGAAGAATTAAATCTTTTCAATACCTATGTATTTTCAAAAGCTCCTGGACACCAGAATCCATAAGTAATAAATTTATAGAATTTATAAGAATTTGATAAATTTAATATTTTTCCAGTAGGGAAAAGGTGTACGAGATGATCCCCTGGGGCAAGATGATCCTTCTGAATTTTGGAGAGCCTATTAGCGACACCTTTTAGGCAAATACGGTAATACGTTGCCAATGACATACCTATGAATCAGTCAAACTTTCATGACAACACGCGGCAATAAAAAAATTCTATTGGAAAAATAAAAATTTCATACTTTTGATCTAAGGAAAGCTTAACTTTGGGCTTAGATAACTTTTGTTGTAGTAGCTGAAATTCCATGTTTCTTGTACTCACGGCTTCAGTATATCTTCAATTAAGTGTTCTGATTGGTATTATGGAATAACAGAGCTCGTAGGTTAAGTTACGAACAAATTACAAAATAGTGGCATTTGGAGCAAGATGATCCCTCAATGGGTGTACACTTGTGTTCATCGATGCCTTTGTCGGATGAACGTGTTGCACTTATAGAAATATATGAGTGCAACACGTTCGTCCGAGGAAGGCATGGATGAACACAAGTGTACAAGATGATCCCCCCTGATTACCATGTATTTCGCCTCACCTCAAATTGAATTATCTAGTATTAATAAAAAATTCAATTTGACATCTACATCTATTTTATTAATTTTCTCGTTGTAGACAATGTCTCGTAATTATAAAATAGGAAAACGAATCGTGGTGAGTGGTCAAAAGCGTTTATGGCCTGAATAAAGTATATTTAATATTGATACACTGTTATTCCTTTAATTTAGACTCCCTTTCCAATAATTGGGGTAAGGTAACCCTACGGATCATCTTGCCCATACCATGGGGATCCAAGATGATCCTTTTGTAAGGTTTTAGAAAAATTAAATTTAATAGTAAAATATTATTTAACTGCATATATTTCAAATCAGAATAGTCAGATAGATTAATTATCTAGTAGTGCGTACAAAAAACTCGAATATGTTGATTTTTCTTTGAATAATAGGTTTTCTCCCTTAGGGGGATCATCTCGTACACCTTTCCCCTACTTTTGGTAAAATTTCCTGATTTCCCTATAGCCAATTTTACTTTCCCTGACTTTTCCCTGATTTCCTTGACCCGTGGCAACCCTAAATAATTATTTTCATATTCATAAATTTTCACATAATCTGAATTGAATAATTTTATGGAAACGGGGTACAATTTAAATGATAGTACATCAAAAATAAAATTTACAGCAAAACATGTTTTTTATATCCAAAAATTAGAAAAACGGTTATTTTCTAAATTTTTCACCAAAAAAAGATACAAATCTTTAATTTAAAATCTCGTTATTCTCCATCCTCTTGAGCTAAAAACAATCTTTTTCGCATTAAAAATTAAATTATTTTTGACACATTACTATCAGAATTTCGTTAATTAAGTTCTAGTTCAAAAATTAAAAACTACTTTTTGTAAAATTTATTTTAGATAAAATGAAAAAAGGTTAATAAAGGTGACAAATATTGTCAAAAGAGGTGAAATTGTAGATGAAAACCAGTTTTGTAATTGTTTTTATGATTAATAAGAAAGAGAGAGTTTTACCTAAAGTACGGACTGCATGCGGAGAGAATGACACGATGTGCAAAAATTTTCCTCGAACCAACATTTAAAACAACGTCGCAGAGTTCCCGATGACGGCGTAGAACATTGAGTTCGGTGAGTGTTGCTCTGGGATGTTTCTCGGAGGTATGACTGAGGCGTGCTGGTGAGGGAGCGCGATCAACGACCATTTCGCCCATCCTCTGGGAGGATTGGGCACTGATACCCGCGCTCCCCGAAGAGCCGCGAGTCCCCCCGGCTACCTGGAGGCGCAGCGGGGGTGACGCCCAGCCCCACACCGAGTCTATCTGCAAAACCATTCACCAACCAGTCGAACTTTGTTTTTCTCTTGCTTTTATTCCCTCCTTCTAACAAGACCCAATAATTCTGCACAAAATTTCAACTCAAAAAAATCAAGAAACACATATAAATGCAAATAACTAAAAGTAACAGAAATTAATAGCAAATTAAAGAAATAATGGTTTGAATGAATATCTTTTTTAAAAAGCAAAACAAAATACAACCATTTGTTAATTTCATTAATTTACCTTTTAAATATCAGGGTCAATTTTTAATTTTATCAATTATTTGTACATGGGTGATTAAAATTAAAATGTCATTTTTGATTCTACTAGCTTTGATTATTCGACGTTGGAAGTTAAACTTATTGATACTCTTTTAGGTTGACTAGAATACACGAAAAAACTTTGTATACCAGTTTTCGTTAAACTCACAATGTATTTCTAGTAAATTGACTACTAAAGTGGGTCAATGGACGAAATTTCTTATTTAATAGAACTTTCGATAATAATACATGCTCTCTTTTTTTTAATATTTAGTAGTCAAGTTAAGAGAAACTCGTTTATGATGCACGAGAAAAAACAGATGTTGAAAAAGTGAATGTGAAAATTTTATTTTCTATATTCGTAAGAATGATATTTTCTTCGCGCCGCGTTTACAATTTAATAGTCAAACTATCAGAACTGCACGCATACAATATTCAGACAATATTGATTTATACGTGTATAATTATCAAACGAAATTTTTATAACTATGCGAAAATCACATTCAATATTGATACAATATTGACTGAACATCGCAAGTCAATATTTAGAGTTTAATTTTTTCTGAAGGTTGATATTTAATATTCTGTTTACAGTCAACTCTACCAATAGTGCCGCTATCAATAGTGCCACTTCTCCTCTTTCTCGCTCGAGCTCTACCCCCACTTTAGCGACTCTAGCACGGCTTCTGAATTTCGAGTTTCCCCTAAGAGAGAAATATACAAACAGTGGGGGTACTACAGTTCCAAGAAAAGTCGTAAACGCTGTGCAATTTTGCGGCACTATTGATAGAGTTGACTGTATGTGGACATTTGAACATCCACACAATCTCCCATGAACATCGCCACTCAATGTTTCTAACCTCGCTGAACGAGGCCCTGTCGAGTTTCAGGAAATCTTCGGTGCTGTGTGGGTTAATCTCATATACATGTGTTCGAGTTAAATGGCCGCCGTAATTCCACCTGGTTCTCTTTTATCTGTAAATGTGAGGTTATATTTGAACAAGTCTTTTAAATTTGACCAAAATGTTTCATTGTCACAGATATTGACCATTAATAATTTTCTCAGTGTAATTGTTTTTTTAATTAAAATTTGAAATTAAATTATAAATTGAAATTTTTTAAATATTTGAATTAGATTTAAGAAGATTTTTCTAAATTTCTTAATATTTACATAATTATTTTTAATTAATGGAAAAAATTTTAAATTACTTCTATTAATGTAAATTTTTTTTTATATAAGTAATAAAAAAGAATGATTTAATTATTTAAATAATATTATTCAATTAAATTAAATAAATATTTAATAAAAAGAATAAATAATTTTACGAAATAATAATGATATTATATTTTATTTTTCTATATGTCAAACATTTTTATAATTTATTAATAGAATCCCGTTTGATGAAAATTAATTCTGTTCATTTCAAAAATTGACCTTTTTTATTTTAAGTAATTAATTGATTTTATCAATTTTGTATAACTAACAAATATTGTTTAAATGGCATTTAACATGCATACAAATTTTCTCCCAAGTGGTAATACAATTGTTGGATTAGTATATAAGAACACTTACTTATTTTCTCGTTATGAATTATATATGCGTTCCGTCGATTACAGTGTGCGTTACTTTATCTGTATGTTAGGCGAATATATGTGGACGTTAGGATGGCTGTTAAAAACGACATTTTAGAATTTTGTCCATTTCCGGGTCTCATTTTGTCACAAATTGAAAAAAATTAGATACGTATTTTTTATTTTTTTTTAAAATTAATATTTAGTGGTGCCTGTAGGGTATTGAAACTTGGCATGTATTTTACATGGGAAAAAAACTGTTTTTTGTAGATTTCCTGTAAAATCGTTGAAAATTAATATTTTTTGACTGGACTACTCTGTTTCTCTTCATAAATGTTTATAGAATAATATACAATTTTTAACATATGAAATTTTGTTAAGTTAACTATTTTTTACAGGACCCAAAAGTTGACCATAAAAACCAAAATAGGTTATTATTGGCAAAAAATATTAATTCTAAAAAAACGAGAAATTTAAACTGTTAATCATGGTTTCTATTGTTTTTGAGGTCGCTGATTACAAAACTGAACTCATATTTCAAAAATTCAAAATGGCGGATCCAATATGGCGGCCATGAAATCAAGGGGTTTTGGGGGTCTCTGATTACAAATCTGAAGTCAGATTTCAAAAATTCAATGTTTTGGATTCAATATGGCGGGCATAATGTTTAAAAAATTAATAATTTTTTATGAACTTAATTATGGAATATTTTATCCCATTAGCCAACAAAATTTTTGTGAAAGTTCTATCTAAATTTAAGTTAATTAGAAATAACTATTTTGATAACAAAAAGTTGATCTCTGATTCAAATAGTAATATTTCTAATAAATCGATTAGTTAAAGTGAACTAATAAAGCATACTTTTATGTACACGAAGAGACCCACATCTGTAAAAATTACTAAAAATGGTTGCAATGACCGGAAATAAGGTGACTTTTATCATAATGTACTACAGAAATAGATAAACTTACAAAAGAAAAACATTTTCTACTAAAACCTACTATCCACTGTAGTAATTTTTGGTGAGCAAGTGTGGCTAGCGAGTGCAGTCAAAAAAACAATCAAAAAAAAAAAGACAAAGTCATATGGCGCCTGAATTTTTATTGGTTGCTAACTTCGTCAATCTCCGTAAATGAGCCAATGCCATCCGATCATTGACAGTGACTATGTTTCGCGTATGTAAAATAAATTTGGATATTATCTACAATAATTAAATATAAAGTGAAACGTAGATCGTTCGTTATCTCAGAAATTGACTATTATAAATTAATAAATTTTGCATTTATTCCTGTCCCAAAAACTATGTCTTATAATAAGTTGTTAAAAGTAAACTGCTTTCTCGTAAGTGCTGTAAATTTTCATCATTGAATATACAAGGAAACAAAGATGTATACTTTCAGTGAAATTCGTTGTCGTGCGTGCAGTTGTGTATTAGTGTATTAATTAACCGCGTCTATACATATAAGTGAAATAAACATGTGTGTGTCTTCAAATATTTATCCAACAAATATATAAGTGTGTGTGTGTCTGTGTCTGTAAAAATCCTTCCAGTTTACCTCCATTAGTCAAGAATTGACGGAAAACCGGCGATAAAAATATGTATTTTTTTCACTCTTTCTTTCTGCATTTACAAACGACTATAGTAATTTTATGTACAAAATATTTCTGAGTTTTCCGGTGGTTGCAATGTGAAAATAGTAAATTCTAGTGTGATTTTATACAAAAATTAATAATCTTGGTCTCTCCGTGTACCCTTTTTCCTGAGTGTAACTATCTAAGTGTAACAGCACATGTAATTTTCTAATTTTTACTATATAGAAAGTGTAACAAAGGAGGATGGAATGAACCTTATCTAGCTAATAAATACTAACCTTCTAATTTCTTATTAGCAGCGAGGTCCTGTTTAAATTTTTAACTTCAGATTTGGAACTAGGGACTCCAAAAACACATTGATACGAAGTTTCATAAAAATTAATTAATTTTGAAATTTGCATGGCCGCCTTATTGGATCCGCCATTTTGAATTTTTGAAATCTGACTTCAAATTTGTAATCAGAGACCCCCAAAACCCCTTGATACGAAGTTTCCTAGAAATGTATTAATTTTAAAATTTTCATGGCCGCCATATTGGATCCGCCATTTTGAAATATGACTTCAGTTTTGTAATCAGCGACCTCAAAAACAATAGAAACCATAATTAACAGTTTAAATTTCTCGTTTTTTTAGAATTAATATTTTTTGCCAATAATAACCTATTTTGGTTTTTTTGGTCAACTTTTGGGTCATGTAAAAAATAGTTAACTTAACAAATTTCATATGTTAAAAATTGTATATTACTCTATAAACATTTATGAAGAGAAACAGAGTAGTCCAGTCAAAAAATATTAATTTTCAACGATTTTACAGGAAATCTACGAAAAAAAGTTTTTTTCCCATGCAAAATACATACAAAATTTCAATAGCCTACACGGAGAGAAATCTGTTGCTATTATTGCTTGCAGAATCTTTACAAATTTTATTAGTCACTGCTGAATAGAATTTTAGCTTGAGGTTATAATAATTTATATACGAAATCATCTATTTAATGTAATGGAGAGTTCGATGCAATAAAAACAAAAAGCAGCTGCTAATTTTGCACGAAATCTTTATTATAAATATAAAGAGAACGTGCTATAAAAGTATTAGATTCTTCTTATAAGAATCGCTCGAACTTTGACTGATTTTCAGGCGGACTTTATACAACACAATCTTACCTGCGTATACGCACATATAACTCACACACACATATATTTCTCTGGATGGTTTCGAGGAACGGAACGCGTACAAAGCGGTGACGTTTGCAATAACATAACCTAACAATTTTCACATGTTGCTTATATATTCAAACACGAATAAAAATGCAATAATTTTTAAATAATATACTTACTATTAAATAAATATTATCTTTTTATAACAGCAACAAGTATTAAATACTACATATAATATATAATGTTTTACCAGACGACAAAACTGTCCAAAGAAATATATATGTGTGTGAGTTATATGTGCGTATACACAGGTAAGATTGTGTTGTATAAAGTCCGCCTGAAAATCAGTCGGAGTTCGAGCGATTCTTATAAGAAGAATCTAATACTTTTACAGCACGTTCTCTTTGTATTTATAATAAAGATTTCGTGCAAAATTAGCTACTGTCTCTTATGCTTATTGCATTGAAAGTATTTTTACAATAAGTATATGAATCGATGCTAAAAATATAAGAGAAACGTTAAGCAATTTAAGTAATGTGCTCTTTCGAGTAATATTAGCAGCAGATTTCTCTCCGTGTACAGGCACCACTAAATATCAATTTAAAAAAAAATACGTATCTAATTTTTTTTAATTTGTGACAAAATGAGACCCGGAAATGGCCAAAATTCTAAAATGTCATTTTTAACAGCCACACAGTGGGGCCAAAAAATGTACTTTTTGTGTCAAAATCAGTCTAGAGGTCACAATTTTCATTAAAATTAAGCAATTTTTTTTTAAAATCTTCGTTACTAAATTCTCTATCGATTCCTCCAGGTCGATTTTTTAATTATTGTTTATTTATATTTTTTTATATTTATTATATTATATTATTATTATATTATTATTATATTATTTTATTATTTATTATATTATTATTATTTATTTTTTTATTTTTTTTTATATTTTTTTTTTATTTCTATTTGTTTATAACAAAGTGTAAAAAATCGATATGTTGCTATAAAATAAAGTTTCTAACATTTAAAAATTTTTTATGTACATTAGAAATCATGTTTTAGTATTCCTGAAGTGAATTTTGTTATATAATTACACTTTTATTAAATAAATAATACGCTAATTAATTAACTTTTGGAAAAAAGATAGAGGCTTAAAAAAAATTGTCATGTTTTTCAGTTTTTATATTTTTTTTCAGTTAGAGCTCGTAATAAAAAAGAATTTAAAATTGCATGTTACATACATTTAATAGAAAAAATTTTTAATTTTTTTTTTATTTCGAGCTTTAACTGAGAAAAAATATAAAAACTAAAAAACATGAAAATTTTTTTTTTAAGCCACTCAAATTTTTTAAAATAACAAAAATTATTTGTTTAAACAATTTTGAAATTAGATAAAAGGAAGTTATTTTTACGGTTACATATTCTTACAATTTCTTAATATAAATGTTTTAGAAATCACGATAAAATGTAAATTAGTATCTTGATTCTATTAAAAGTTAAAAATATTAATAATTTGATTAAATAATTATAAAAGTTATCATTTGCAAGACACACTTTTGAGTTTAGTTCATTTAAATAAAAAAATTGTTAGGAATAAAAAAAATCTAAATTTTAATTTTTTTTAAATAAAATTTAACAAAAAACATAATTAATTTGTTTAAAC